GTTGCAAGTTGTGCTGAAAGTGGATTGAAAGTGTGTTATTTAGTGTGTGTGAAAGTGGCTATTGTTTATTAAGGGAAATAATGCAGGTCTTCAGGATAGATAATTAGCAAACTCAAGCAATAAATAGAATTCCAAGAATTAAATCAGAATACCTCATACTGGAAAACCATGTTCATAGCCAGATATTCTGACCACAAGCACATGCATAATAAAAAGGCAAGAGGCCAAAGAGGAAGACCAAGGGTAATGTGGTGGGTGGGGAATAGCTACCTATCTGTGTAAGTTCGGCAAGGTTCCATTTTTTGGAAAACATAAGTCCAGTTATCCAGGTAGCAAATACTCCACAGTAATCCAAAGGATAGGGCATGATCCACAAGCTGTCATAGCAAGGAGAGATGTAAGCTGTTGAACATAAAGGGTGGTTTTGAGCTCTTTTGGGCACATTCTGGTTCCACTTATAGGGCAAGAGATTTGAAGAAAAACAAAGGACTATATTCTTTCCAGTCTTGGGCAGTGGGAGAGAAGCTAGATAGGCCCTTTATGCCATTTTACTGCAGCAGTAGGGGAGGAAGGTGGTTCTGAGCCTTTAATCTCTTCCAATGAAGTACATTAAAAAGTGGACCTGGCATGTGTGACTGAGACCTGGGCCAGGGAGGGCGAGACAGTCACCTTGAAAGAGCTCCCCCCCCCCCAGTTTCTCAGTCCTCCATCAGTCTCAGACCTGATAAGGAAGGGGGGGTGGCAATACTCATCCGAGAGTCGCTCTCCTTCAGGGCACTCACCACTCTAAAGATCCTTGGAATGGATTGTGTTGACCTGGTGTGGGGTACTGAGGAGAATTTGGCTATCTGGCTGGTGTACCAACCGCTTTGCACACCAGCAGACAGCCTGCCAAGCCTGCTGGAGGTGGCAGTGAGCTGGGCCTTGGTGCTCCCGAGGCTAATAATTCTTGGGGACTTCAATGTCCATGCTGACAATGCCACCAGCAGACAGGCGTTGGACCTGGTGACTTCCATAGCAGCAGTGGGAGCAGGCCACACACTGGATTGATATGGATCTGACTGCTGTTGATAGGGTGCCATGATTAGAACACTATGCCCTGAAGGCCCAGCTGAGTGTTCCACCTCCGCCCCGTCTAGGTGGCAAGCCAATTTATGCTTACCCGTGGAGACTAATGGATCCAATTGATTTCCAGAGTGCTCTGCAGGATCCAGTACCTACCAACGACTCATTGGATGAGCTGATAGAGGACTGGAATACCCAACTCTCTGAAGCCATCAGTGAGATTGCTTCCCAATGCCCTCTTCACCCCACTCCAACTTAGTCCCACGGTATACCATGGAGCTTAGAGGGATGAAGCAGGAGCTTAGAAGGCTAGTGTGTGTTTGGCAGTGGTGTCATGAAAAAGCTGCAAAACATCTTATAGATCATTTATGAAAACCTAGGATTTGGTGGTGAAGGCTGCTAAAAGGGAATTTTTTACAGTCTCCATTGCATCTGCTAGCTCTTGCCCTGCACAATTCTTTAGGACAATCCAGTCTTTAACTTCTTTAACTTCTCTCACTGAGAGGTCAAAATACTAGTAAATTGGCTATTAGCTGTGAGGTCTTTGCGAGCTTTTTCGTGGATAAAGTCTTGTCACTCCTCTTTGACCTGCCTGCCAATATTGATATAGTATGCAAACTGGAGGCCCCTTAGTCGCCTTTGGATTCAGTGTTCACTTCAGCCATCTCTCCCAGGCTGACATTGACAGGATCTTGGGTACTGTTAAGCCAACCACTTGCCTCTTGGATCCATGCCCATCGTGGATGGTGAAAGCCGGTGGTGGTGGAGTACGGGGCCCCTTGGGGGACATTATCAATCTGTCCCTTAGTTCAGGGGGATTAAAAAAGGTTGTGGTAACACCACTCTTGAAGAGACCATCTTTGCATCCCTCAGATCCTTCCAATTACCACCCAATCTCAGATCTTTAATTTCTGGGTAAGGTAATTGAAAGAGCAGTGGTAGAACAGCTACAGAGTTTCCTGGATGATGCTGAGGCCTTGAACCCATTCCAGTCTGGTTTTCGCCCTGGACATGGGACAGAGATGGTGTTGGTCACCCTCACAGACAATCTTCACAGAAAGCTGGATCACGGTGCGTTGGAGCTGCTGTTATAATTAGATCTGACAGTGAATCATTATATTGTATTGTTTTATAGTGTGCTGTAAGCCACCCTGAGCCGGCCTTGCTGGGAGGGTGAGGTAAAAATCTAATGAAATAAATAAATGTTCGACATGGTTGACTACAGTCTGTTGACCCACCACCTCGCTGACATAAGAGTTTGTGAGGTGGCCTTGAAGTGGCTTACCTCATTTCTCCTTGGTTGGGGACAGAGGGTGGTGCTAGGAGAAGAGGTTTCACCCCAACACCCTCTAGTATGTGGGGTCCCTCAAGGGGTGATCCTCTCTCTGATGCTATTTAATACCTATATGTACCGTCTTGTCCAGCTGGTGCAGAGTTTCAGGCTGGGTTGCCATCAGTATGCTGATGACATCCAGCTGTATCTGTTGAAGGACAGCTGACTGGATACCACCCCATCTGTTTTGGCTGAAGGGCTGGAGGCCATAGCTAAGTGGTTGAAGCATAGCCAGTTGAAACTGAATCCTTTAAAAATAGAGGTTCTGTGGCTGAGCAGAGGAGGTGTGGGATTAGAGTGCCAACTCCCGGCTCTTGATGGTGTACCTCTAACAGTGGTACGAACCACCTGGAGCCTGAGTGTGTACCTGGATGCCTCCTTATCTACGGAGGCCCAGGTCACAAACATTGCCAGACTGGTGTTTTTACAGCTGTGTCAGATCAGGCAATTGGCCCACTTCTTGTCCTGTCCTGACTTAGCCACAGTAATCCACACAACGGTTATCTCTGGGCTAGACTACTGTAATGTGTTCTGTGCAGGGCTGCTCTTGAGACTGACCCAGAAACTATAGCTTGTCCAGAATGCAGTGATGTGGGTCCTTACAGGGACCCCATTGACAGCACATATCCAACCAGTGCTTTACCAGCTGCACTGGCTCCAAGTTGAGTACTGGATCAGATTCAAGGTTTTGTTACTGACTTTCAAGGCCCTAAACAGTCTGGGACGAGCATATCTACGGGACCATCTCTCCCTATATACCCCCCAAAAGGCATTATTTATTTATTTATTTGTTTGTTTGTTTGATTGTTTAATCAAATTTGTACCCCGCCCTCCCTGCCGACGTAGGCTCAGGGCGGCTTACACGATACAAACATAATAACAATCAATATCATAGACATTTAAAACAATTTGTTAAAACAATATTACATTAATATCAAAGTGCTAGCAGTTATAATATCATATAGATGGCATTATACATTCTATATATTAACTTGGTATACAGCACATTGGTCTTTCCTAAATACAGTCAGAGAGCTCAAGCTGTCAGTAATAGACCAGGCACCAAACTTTTATTGTTGTTAAGGTGATGGTAATAATGATGGAGATGGTAGTGGCAGCTCCTAGTTGAAAGCCTGGTGGAAGAGCTCCATCTTGCAGGCCCGGCGGAACTGTAAATGGTCCTGCAGGGCCCTAATCTCTTCCGGGAGCTCATTCCACCAGTGTGGAGCCACCACCGAGAAAGCCCTGGCCCTGGTTGCAGCCAGACTGGCATCCTTGGGACCTGGTAGGGCCAGTCGGTGTTGTGACCCTGATCGAAGTGCTCTCTGGGGTATATATGGTGAAAGGCGGTCCCTCAGGTATGTCTGACCCTGGCCATAAAGGGCTTTAAAGGTAAGAACCAGCACCTTGAAGTGAACCCGGTATGCTATGGGCAGCCAGTGCAATGCCTTCAGGACAGGCCAGATGTGTTCCCTCATGGGGAAGCCCATCAGAAGCCTGGCCACGGAATTCTGCACTAGCTGAAGCTTCCGGATTTTCCACAAGGGCAGCCCCATGTAGAGAGCATTACAGTAGTCTAATCTCGAGGTGACCATCGCATGGATCACTGTTGCTAAATCGTTGCGTTCGAGGAAGGGAACCAGCTGCCTAATCAGCCGAAGATGGGAAAAGGCCGACTTGGCAGTGGCTGCTACCTGGGTCTCCATTGTTAAGGTGGCATCCAAGAGCACTCCCAAGCTTCTAACCTCTGGCGCTGGCACCAGTGGTGCCCCATCGAAGGTTGGGAGTGGGATCCCTACCCCTGGATTTCCCTGACTCAAGCACAGGACCTCTGTCTTCATCAAATTCAGTTTCAGTTGGCTCAGTCTAAGCCAGCCAGCCATGGCTTGTAACGTCTGGTCCAGATCTTCTGGTCTGGAGCCAGACTGACCGCCCAACATCAGATAGAGCTGGGTGTCATCCACATACTGGTGACATTCCAGCCCACAGCTCTGGGCAATCTGGGCAAGGGAGTGCATGTAGATGTTGAATAACATTGGGGATAGCACCGCCCCTTGAGGCACTCCACATTCTTGGGAGACAAGAACTTCCTGACCCATCCCTGGCCTGAAGGATGTCCAGCTGTCCTTGACCAGAGCCAGGGCCATTTTGGCCCTGGTGCCAGCCTAGTGGAACTCTCTACCTAATAACATCCGGGCCCTGTGGGACATAATGCAGTTCTGCAGGGCCTGTAAGACAGAGATGTTCCACCAGGCCTATGGTTCAAGACATCAATGGTTGACATCAGGCCTGGCCTCCCTGTCTCCTCCCTTCCAGAGAAGGATATGGAATATTTAATACCATCTGCTTTGATAGTGCTCCTTTTACTGTTTTTAAAAAAATATTATGTGTGTATATTTATCATATTTATTGGAATTGTATTTATAGTTGTTGTTGACTGGCCTGAGCCCCAAATTGGGGGGAGGGTGGTAGATAAATCAAATAAATAAATAAAACAATTAAAATGTTTAATAAAATGTCAACAGAATTTTCAGCAGCTTTTTTTACACTTCCCTCCCTCATTAAATGTATGTCTCTGTGTTTTTCTTTTCTTTTTCACCAGCTCCCTGTGGAGGCCAGTATATCGGATCAGATGGTGTGGTTTTATCACCAAATTACCCTCATAATTACACTGCTGGGCAGACTTGTCATTATTCAATTACTGTGCCTAAAGAATTTGGTAAGTCCCCCCCCCATATGTGCAGCTCACTAATTCTTTTACTAAATAGACACAATTTAAAACTGTATAAAACACTTAGCAAAGCAAAACACAGGAGACTACTCCCTCACCTGACTTGAAGCCTTGACTAATTCTTTTACTTTGATTTTATCCTCTCTGTAAAAGCTGGTGTACAAAATCTTGAACATAGCTAAGTTTTCTATGCAGAATGTTTATCAAGATTGTGCTTTCTGATACTGTTTCACTGAGCTTTCTTAATGCAAGTCCATTGTTTACACTTTAATGTAATTAATTAATTAATCAAACAAAAGAAAATAGTTTGTTATTCAACGAGTGATTAAAATGTGGAATTCACTGTAGTGATGAACACAGGCACAGATGGCTTTAAAAGGGGATTAGACAGTTTTATGAAGGATCGGTCTATCGGTGACGACTAGCCATTGTGATTAAAGAAAACCTCCACATTCAAAGGCAGTAATCCTCTGAACACCAGTGCTGGGAGGCAGCATCAGGGAAGGGTCTTGGTCTTAAACCCCTGTTGTTGGCCCTCCAGAGTAACTGGTTAACCACTGTGTGGAACAGGTTGCTGGACAAGGTGAACCACTGGCCCAATCCAGGAAGGCTGTTCTTATTTTATTAATCATCATTAATCATTCACTGGTTAACTTATGCACAGTATTCAAGGGCTAAAACAAAAATCTGTTTGGTGGACACATTAAAACCTATGTCCAGAATCTGAAGATTTGTGTGATTACTTCCATGTATCCAGGGTTTCTGAAAGAGCAATCCTTGTGACCATGTGACAAACCTGTTTCAAAACTGAAAAGACTTTTAAAAGCAATGTGTGAAGGGGGTGGGTGGGAGAGTTGCTGTCAAAAAGACAAAAAAAACCTCCTACTGGGCATACCCAAATAGTTCTTTGAAGCTCAGTTTGTGTTTATTCCCCCCATTTTTTTTCAGGTATACACAAATTGATTTAAAAATTAGAAGTTTCACTGGTGTGCATAACTGATGACTTAAGGAAATATAGATCAATTATTTTCTCCCATGTCGCAAAATGTCTAAATTAATGGCTGCAAATGACCTCTTAGAGTGTGCTGGGGTCCTTGAGACTCAACTGCTGCATACTTCATATGAAATCATACTAGTAAGAACATAAGCAAAGTCCTGCAGCATCAGATCAAATATCAGTCTCATTCAGCATTCGATTTGCAACAATGATTACACAAGCAGGACATGGAGGCATCACAAGCTAGTTCAAAGCCATGCACCATTTAATTTTTTTTTAATTAAGAGTTTAAAAAACAATAAAACAAAAATTTGCCACATCCACGATGCAATTTTTGCAGAGGCTGCTCAGAAGTAGTCTTAATCTTTGTGCATCAGGAAAATATTAATATTTCAACAGCCATTTTCTTAGGAATCTTTCTCTTGCTCCTGCATGATTTGGACAGTAGAAGAAAACATGACATGCTGAGTTAAGTTCTGTCAAAGGGCAGTCACAATAGCGCTGGTCCAGAGGGGTCTTGAGAAAACGGCCCTTCATCTGGGCTGTTGGAAACGCATTGCATCATGCAATCATGTATGACCGTCTCAGTTCTGGAATGTTCAACATGTTTAAGTAAAGAGGCAGGTCAAATTTGGTGAAATATGTAATTCCTAGATGAAGTGGGGAGCATTTTCGTCTAACATCTGTTTGAAGAGCATCCCAATCATTTTGGAGCAACTTTTCTGTGAGTAAAGTTTGTCTTCTTTTGGTTAAGTTCTCTGTCTTCCGTAAGCCCAATTGTCTTGTTTTCACATCTACAGCGTCATTCCATTTTGACCAGCAACGTTCACGTTCTGTCAATATGGTAAAGGTTGGGAGGCTTTCAGCATTTAACAGTTGATATTTATAGCAATCACCAGCTAGTATTCTGACACATACTGTTACCACAAATGGCCTGTCTTGATATTGGGGGAAATTAGCTATGAGACAGAGGAGGCCAGAAAGGTACAAGAGATTGCACACCTTTATATTCAAAGGTCCAGTTCAGTATTAAGACTCCAGATTTGAAGAGTGTTTAATAGTTTTATTAGAGAATATCCCTGCTTACATACACGCTAAGCAATCAAAATGTGCATGCAGTCCAGAACTAAGAAATAAAGAGGTGATGATAGAGATGTTAAAGATCAGCTATAGGGGTAGGTAATATTATATTATATTCCAGCCAAGAAAGTGCAAACAGCCAGCGTTTCACACTAAGAGAAGAGACCCAAAGTAGAGGCTTTGCGAGTGTACCCTATAGTAGGCACCCTCAGAGTGCACACTGAAGTGGGGCTTACTCTCTATTTTTATAGGAATTTGGGGAATGGTGTCCCGGACCAGGACTTGATGGGTTTAATGACCATTGATGGTCTTACTGGAGTAGGTTGAATGGGTTCCCAGGCTTAGACAAAAGGGGGAAATGGGTCTCTGATATCCCCCTGTACAATCCAACTAAGGCTTATGGATCATGAATTACAAAAAGTGTTCCCTTCGCACCCCCATCTGTTCCACAGCTAATTTAGGTATATATCAAAGGCATGGAATGATGCCCCACTATTTTTCCATTTTGGATTCCCCATTCCAGCACTGAGCCTTTACTTTGGCCCGTTTAAATGCTTTTCCATCGGTAGTCCTTTTTGGTAGATTTAGGCAAACACCTTCTCAAAATAGGTTTTGTCCATGTGAGTTAGGTACTCTTGATTCGTTATTCCATATCATTTTAAAGTGTCCCCTCCATCCTTTACAACGTAAACAGTTCTTTTCTAAATACCTCCAGCATAATGTCTTTGTTAAGGTAAACATTTTACTTTATCTTTTAGATGATGTCAACTCTCAAATCACTACATGTGTTGCCAAATTTTTAGCAGAATCTTATAAAATTAAGTCCAAACACATCACTATATCTTAATTGTTGGATGCCTATTTTTCCTATTTGTTTCTGATGTTTTATTGATTTAAATACATATTTAATCTGTATTATTGGTCACCATCTCAATCAACTGTTTTATGTTTCTGTTCTTATCATCTATTAGACCTTTGTGTTTATTCTTGATTGTAATTTATCAGCATTTTTATGCCAATAAAGGTCAAAATGTGAGAGGGTCTCTGACAGCTGTCAGGAAGAATTGTTAATGATTTAATATTTGATCAGTTTTGCTTGGTATCCTGAGGGAGGGGACAGGAAGGGTAGATGTTGAGACAAAAGGTTTCCAGATCGGCACAGGTATCACACAAAGGGGATTACGTGGGGATATGGAGACAGAGGAGGTTTGCCAGACATCTCCTGAATTGCTTTGAGAATGCAGATACTTTATCTGAAGGAACTTGCTGTCATTCCATATGCATACCTTTGCTGGGTGGAGGGGGATTGGAGATTGCCCTTGAGGGTGCCTTGTGCAACCTTAGCCTGAAACCCTTTGCAGAGCTTTGGCTAGCTCTTTAGCACAGGTCAGGAGTGTTCTCTTTGGCCTGGTTCTATGGGTCTCTGGTTCAGGTCAGAAGTGGGGTACCCTGTTGTTGGGGTTACCCTGCAAGTAAGGCAGCATCTCTGAGCTACAATACTGCTGTTGGAAAGAGTTGTTTCAGTTAGTTGTTATGACCAGTGACTGTTCGTGCATAATTGTCACCATGTAGCAGTAACTTTTGTTTCATCTTCAGTCTTCTGTGCAATCCCACATTGAGACTGCGCTCATGCAGGCCAGCCACTGGAGGTTCTCTTACAGCTACTCTGGAATTTCTTTAATACTCCAAGCGTAGCCCTCCCCTGCAGAGTTCATTAGAGGTCCTCTTCCCACCTAACGGTCACTTGCTCTGCAGGGAGGAGCTTCCCCTTTCCCCCAATCCTTTCTTTGCTGCCATATTGTAAGGACATGTTCTCTTCAGCTCTGATTGCTGTGAGTTTTCTTGAAGTTTTCTTTGTTTCCTGGGGTCTCTCCCTTCTTTGGGAAATGTCGCAGAAGGCTTTGTTTAAAAAATGTACCCAGTGCAGTACAAAAATGACCTGTTCAGATGAACACCTGCTTTGCCTTTTCTGCTTTGGTGAGACCCATAATACAGCCACATACAAAATTTCCCTCCAATTTACCCCGAAAGCCAGCTCATATTGAACAGTGCGCTTAAAGGTAAGCTTATGGGAGAAAGCATTATTTTGCTCTAATAGTGCAGCAGTGAAAGCATCTACCCTGGCAGAGCACAATCAATCCTTGCCTTCGAAATCACCAGTTAGAACTGACCAACTTGAGAGCCCACCATCGAGTGCCTCGGTTCGATTGGTTCCAGGGAAAGAGTGTCAGGTCTGATTGCCTGCCCGTTCAGCTGAACGCTGTATGTTGTAACCCCTGCCTAAGAAAGCCCGTTCCAAATCCAGACATAAGGAGAAGTATCATGCCACTCCCGGAATCATTGAACTCTTTAGTTCCAGCCAAAAGCATCTTTGGTTCCGACTGAACGGAGGGAGGTCTCCCCACCACAAATGCCTTCTTCACATGCCTCCCTGGCTCATTCATTCTCACAATGGGAAATAGAGCCTGGCCAGGGCTCATTGGCGGTTCCAGCAGCTAATCGACCATCAGAGCCATCCTCCCTAGAATGGTGGCAGAGTTCTGTTCCTCTGCCTCCTTGGCAAGGCTACCCCTATTATTTCCCATCTCCTAGACCTCAAGAATGGGATGACTGCCAGTCATGAAAAGCACCTCCAGAACCAAGGCACCCCTTTTCACGAAATCATGACACTGCGGGTCCACCAGTTTGGTATCCTCCTGCAGTCTCTCTCCACCCCCTTATGGGGCATTCGGATTCTGAGGAAGAGCAGGTTTTGAGGGCTAACTTCCCTTCTGGTCTGGGCTCAGACTTCCCATCGGACCCTTTCCCTGATGACACTGTAGGGGCCCTGACCCAGTGTCACGTATTGAAGGCCTGAAGCAAATGATGTGAATGGTTAAATTGTTGGATATAGGTGTGACCTCCAGCAACC